TCATCTCATCTCATCTCATCTCATCTCATCTCATCTCATCTCATCTCATCTCATCTTATCTTATCTAATCACAGCTCATCTCATCTCCCACTCATCTCATCCGTCATACGACAAACGAGACCTCAACACTTTTTAACCGGAATCGAAGGAGATTTCCTCGAAAACGTTGTTACCAAGAATTTTACAGAAAAGCCGATCGACAATGGTCAAGAAGTATCTGCTGTTGTCTTCTGGTTGGATCGGTTTTCAAATCTTCGCACCAAACAGTGTCACTCAAAATGGAAGTTAGCTCAACAAATGAATAACATTTTAGTCAGTCAGTTTGAGGACATAAAAGTGCTGAAAGTGGAGAATCCTCCACCAATAAATTAGCAGAATTCATGATACCATTATTTTTTTCTGGCAAATCTATCTTTGAAACTCCTCCCCACATTCTTTCTACCGAAATAGAAATGGGCCCAACCCTTATAGACGAAATGATTGCTCGAAGCCCCACTTTATTTCACATTAATTTCTTCAAAGCCAGAGCCCAAAATAGTGGCGCTCTGCAATATTGTCAACTGATCAGCTGTAATAGTCATTTCGCTGCTCTTTCTTGCATGTGAGCATCCAAGGGAGGCTGCTATGCATGCCTGTCTTGCCAGCAAGTATCACCAACCACTGGCTCCGCTCTCGTATCGCCAGTTTGTGTTGGTGTGCTCAAACAAGACTTTCAGCGCTTGCCGTCGCTTGAGTAGGCTGCAGGCCCTTACAGCCCAATGAGGCCTCTTCCCTCGGTTCGGGAAATATAGCCCGTCTGGCTGGCAGCAGCACATTTCTTTTTGACAAAATGGTACCAACGCTTTTTTACAATGAAGCTACTTTGTCACATAAACACTCTGTTTCTTTCCCATTTATTCGCTGGCACACATTTTTCTACCTGCAAGGTCTTGGAAACAGCGGATACCTGCATAAAAAATGCCTTGCTAGGCAGCAATGCGTATGTCCGATAGGGCCCCTGAAAAGCCCACCCCCGACTCTTCTGTGCGGCCACTGGTCACTCTTTGCGTATGCACCATCGACAGTCTGTGTGGAGCCACTGTTTCTACCCTCTCCCTTGCCCTTTTTCACCATCGCTCTCTCCTTTTTTTACGCTAATATTGTAGTTGTTTTAAGATCTGGTCCTGAAGACGGCATCGCCAGTTGAAGAGCTTATCTACACCCGCAAAACGGGGATGTACAAACAGATCATTGTGCGCAAGTGTGCCAAATACGGCTAACTTAGGTACGGTCCATAGGCTGATCGATTGAAGAAGCTCTCTTTCAGGCGTCGTTTTGCGCTTTTAACACACATCAAGACTTATTCCAGATGACTCTGAAGTCAGCAGCACACCACAATATTGCATCTGTCTACAAGTTTGCGAGACAAATCGATCTCCAGCATTTATATTTTAACCAAATTAATTCATTTTTTTATACAGTCGCTTTCTCTCCTTATCCCTCAGTCCTTTATGCACACACCTCTCTCTCTCTCTCTCTCACACACACACACACACACACACCATCTTTTTCTCTGATCTGCATTTTGGTCGCAGTGCAATCGAGATTACGGCCTAGACCCTTGCATAAGTAAAGACAAAAGAGCTCTGTACCAGAGGTAGACGGGAGCCTCATCATCTTTGTCACCATGCTCCCCAACTAAGTCCCTATTGCTTCTTCTTTTGAGTTCCCTTCGCAACCGACCGATGTACCGCCAATTGAAACTCTTTCAATTCCTACATCAGGTATCAACAGGAGGCAGTTTTTCATGCGAACGGCGAGTAGCGCATCGCTGATACTCGGTCCGACGGCGCATTGGCGAAGAGGTTAGGCAGTCGAGGCTGCAGAATGCCGGAACCGATTGGCCCTTCCGAAAGCAAGTCGACCTCGTTCTATGGAGCCCTGAGTCGGAGTTTGAAGGGCTCTTGGAGGCGCCAGGTCGCTGTCCGGAGCCCTGCTCGTCTGTTCCACATGAGCGCAGCCGGACTGCTCATGCTGGCTCTGAGCCTCAACTGGCTGGCCGACAGACCAGTCGAAGCGGGGATGCTGTCGCAGGAGGGGGTCACGAGTCGTCCCATGCTGCATGGAGATGCGCCCAACTCCTCGTTCTGCCGGAAGGCGTTGAACAACATGACAGACGACATGGACCCTTGTGAAGTGGCTCAATCCTATCCGAGCTGCTACTTCGACTCTGGCTTTATTCAGTACCTCATCTTTCAGTACTGCCATTTCGAAAATCGGATTACGCCAACCATAATACTGGTGAGTTCGTCCAGCCAAGGTACAATTGTCTGTTGGCATTTGGGTTAATTATTTGAAGACAGTAGTTTATGGCAGCCTATCTTTGCCCACTGCTCAGCTGTACTTCAAACGCCCCCATTAGGGTCAATTTCCAGTCGCCACTAGCTTTCTCACAATGTACGATACACGCAAAATAAGGTGAGTGGAATTCTCGTTTTTTTATGACCTACCGGTGGTCTCGGAAGCCTACTTTTACAAGAGACAAAGTAGTATAGTCGATTGCAGTGACAAATGCAATTCTGCTTTATCGACAATCCCACTCGGAATACACGTCTGCCCTGTGGTCCAGGGGCGCTCGTGTCAATGTGGCATGGCGGTTAGGGTGTCGTCGCGACTATGCGCTGCACTGCTGAAACGCATGTTTGAGTCCCGCAGAGGTGTTGATAAGACCTAGGCGACGTCGAATCTGCAAAGAACCAAGGCTCTGTGAAATGTATATTATTGTGGGAAACTTCCTTATCACCTTGAACGAAATAAGCTAAATTCATTTTGACTAGAAAAATACTTTCAATAAATATGAAGATATGAAGACCACGATGTTGTGACCTCTGGTATGGTCGCAGTCTTCTTTCGATTTATATAAGTGGGTTAACCTCGTTGTCGCAACTTGGACTTGTTGTCAGGGTGACTATGTAGAAGGCACCTAGTTCGAAGTCGTCTGCCATAGTAGTTGTCATGATTCCCAGCATCTGACAGTGGACT